GAATAGTGGTTTGATTACGAACAAAATCTCATCCCTCGCTCTCTTTGGTAGAATAGCAAAATAAGTAAAAGGGTGACAATAATGAATCTAGAGGTGAAGCATGTGCAATATCAAAGGATTGTTGATTGAAACTGGCCAATTTGTGTATGGACTTGGATGGCTGCCCATACGTCTTTTGAATCCTCCATAGGTTGGGTCTCACATGCATTGTTGTATTCTACCAAATATTTCGATATTAAAAATAAAGGTTTTTCAATTTGAAACTACGAATTAAAAGCTTCAAACTCACGATCAAAAGTTTTAGGGTGTACGTATTCTATGGGAGATCAAGAGTTTTGCAAAAAGAATTGAATCTCGTCTCCTAAACATGAACGATTTATGCCTCATGTCAATTCCTTGAAAATTCGATCAAATATATTTGATGTGAACTGTGATCGAAATATGTCGAAACAAACAACGGCAAGTGGATAGATCATTTGAATAGAAGAACTTTAAGCACTTATGTTTTTCAATTCTCTTTGTTGTTATGAAAAGACATGCATTTAATTAGTATTCATATTCGTTCGAGAAAGCACGGATTAATTTACTGAACTTTCTCCTCAACTTAAAATCCACCGACAATCTTCATAGAGTTGTTACTTGAGTTCTACTAATTCTATTAAATTTTATAAAATTGGAATTAATTTAGGATTTGCAATGATTTTATTTAAACATTAAGGAACTGGATAATTCCAATCCACAGCACAGGATTTGTAAAAGAAAACAATCAGCCCCAACCCATTCAAGGAGATATCACAAACGGATCATCATTCAGCCGGTGATGGCAGTGCAGCCACGGGGATAAGGCTTGGCCTTCCTTCGCATCCTGCGTTCATAGTAAGAGCTGTCGCGATGCGCTTTGTAGCTTAAATACTTTTTACGAGACAACTTCCCGTCGTATTTGTATTGGAAAAGTAGCCGTCGATCATCTTCCGTCAACTGTGCTGGTGCGTAGTCAGGGGCGGCGTAGGAATGTGGGGCGGCGTAGGAATGTTGGGCGGCGGCGACAACCATGAGGAGGAGACATAGGCAGAGCTTCATGAATCCCATTTTGGTTTGTGAAAAGGGTTGGGAAAATTTGGGGTTTTTATTTTGGTTTTGGTGTAGTTAGGCAAATAATTAATTTAAAACTTTGTGATTATGGTAATGGATTAGGCTACATTGGAGATGCACTATATACATATCATTTCAATCAAGGTATCATACCATATTTTATTTATAAAATTGATGCACGGGTACTAAGATTCGAACTAGTGTCAACAAGACTTACTTCTTTTTTTAACTACTTTCGAGAGTGAAAATTATCCTCACAAATCAATAAGAAGTTTTTTTTAACTTTAAAAGTTCAGACACCAAACCCTGAACTCCATGTCAAGTATGCTTAATGTTAAGAATGTGAAATAGAAATAGAATTGGGAAGGTGTGTATTCTCATTGATATTCATAAGATTAAATAGGATACCAGCAGTAACTAATGGGTACACATGAAAGAAAAGATAAATAATTAAATATTGATAATAAAATAAAATATATTGTAAATCAAATTATAAATAAAGAATATTAAGATATAATATCTAAGATATATTCCATAAATAATATATACTCTAAATATTATATCTCAACACTTAATTTTTAAAGTTCTTACGATTGAGCCATTTATACACATTGTCTTAGTAAGCTCATGAAACTAGTTAGTGCTTTTTACACGGTAAATACTCATTAGATGTATGATCTTTTCACAACAAAGAGAAATGAAAATCACACGTGCTAAAGGTTCTTCTATTCAAAAGATTTATTCCTTCAAGTTGTTCTCTCCGATTCAGTTATTTGTTGTGACACATGAGAATACATCGTCCATTTTTAGGAGAAGAGAAGAGATTCATTTTGCAAAACTCTTGATCTCCAATAGAATGCACACACTCTACAAATTAATCGACGAGTTAGAACGCCGGGAGAAAGAAGAAGAACAAGAAAAAGAAGACGAAGAAGACAAAGACGAAGAAGACGAAGACGAAGAAGACAAAAAAAAAGACAGCGCAAGATCATCAAATTCGTTCAAGAAAAGTCAAACGTGTCGTAATTTTTACCGACAATCTAAACTCTGAAGATCAAGATATTGATATCACAAATCAAGATATTGATATCACAAACCACGATATTGATATCACAAATACTGATGATTCTGACGAATCACTTGTATGACTTAGATGTCTCGTATTTCTCGAAAAAGTGATTCGATTGATGGGATTGAGATTGATATTCCAATCTTTCTTCTTTGAACGTATTGATTTGACCCCATAAGCGGGACCACCACCCCATAGCATGTTGCCACCAGAAGCAGAACCCCATATTTCTTCTAGAGAATCTCCTAATTGTTCCAGAGCAACTAGAAAGAGATTTTTTAACCAGAAAGAATTCAGTTCAGGTGTGGGATACCTATCCAAAAGTTTTCGCGAAACCTTTTAACTTTAAATTACTTTTTTCAAGAATATATATTGTAACCCATTCAATTATGTTCAAATTGAAAACCCGAAAAAAATATATGATCTTGAAACTTAAACACGGGAATAAAAAGAGAATTTTTGGACAGTATATAATATTATTTACAAAACTTTCCTAACTAGAATTATCTAAATCAAACAAGATAAGAAACGTTTATTTTTAATATCAAAATTTTTGGTAGAATACAACCATGCACGTGATACACAACAAATGGAGGCTTCTAAACAGGTATGGCAGCCCATACACGGTGTCACAATCGCTTTTTCTCGACAGCGGATTTGGTGATTGTGCAGAATTCGCTCTCAGCATTGAGTGAGTCAACCCAACTTCGGATCACGTTGCCTACGATCGAGCAACGTGTATTCAAACCTCGAGCTTCGATTTAAATAGAAGATTTTAGAAAACGGGGGAGAAAGGTTTTGGAAAAAGAATTCTGAAAGCAAAAATGAGAAAAATGAATGTCATTGACCATGACAAGAGGTATGGGCACATAAAAGCGGATTGTTAATATGAAACCAAACATTTTACAGCTAAAAAATGAAGAACAAGAAAAAAAGACTTTTTATGGCTTGTATTGATATTAATCTAAAAAGGAGCGATTTATGGTTTGTTGATAGTGGATGCTTGAACTATATGACAGGCATCAAATCTTTATTCCAAGAGCTTGATGGGACATTAAGGCGCAACTTGGAAATACAAGAGAGATGCAAGTTGAGGGAAAATGGACAGTGAAAGTCGAAACTAGTCATGGTAAGATAAAGCTTTTAGATCATGTTCAATTTGTGTCTAATTTAGGGTAAAATGTATTGAATGTTGAACAATGGATAATCATAGTACATTCCATTCTATTTGACAACAACAAATAGGTCATTACAAATAAGAAATTAGACCATAAAGTTATCGGTTATATTTGATGACAGCACATGGGTCATTACAAATAAGAAATCAGATCATAAAGTTCACGTTGTCATGTGTGGGCCAATGCAAACTAAATCCTTGAGTGGGAGTATATACTTTTTACTATTTATTGACAGATGAGCTGTGTTTACTTCCTATTAGAAACTTTTCAGAAATTCCAGAATTTTAAAGTAGAGTAGAGCACCAAATTGACTGTCACATTAACTTTCTTTGCACAAATATAGGTGGTGAGTTCATATATAAAGGGTTCAATCCGAAGGGAGTTAACAGCTCCTTGCACTCCAGAACATAATAGAATCGTTGAACAAAAAATTGAACTATTGTGGAGATGGCAAGAACTATGTTACAAACCAGAAGACTTTCAAACTAATTTTGTGTTAAAATTGTAGCAACATCATCTATCTATTAAATCTATCACCGACTAAGGTCATTATGAATTGAACTCCTTATGAAACATGACATGGAAGGAAATCAGTAAGTCATTTACGGGTCTTTGATTGTGTTGCTTATGCTTTGAAAAATTCTCAAATTAAAGCGGGATGAAAAATCTGAAAATACATTTTCATTGGCTATTATACTCAATCAAAGACAATAAATTTAAAATCCTCTTAATGAAAAGATTTTACTTAAAAGAGAGGTAATATTTGATGAAATGTGTTGGGATTGGAGTAAAATACAGGAGCATCAAGAGATTACAATTCAAGTTTCTTCGGAAGAAGAGGCAAGAGTCCAACTCCATTGCATCTTCTAGTGTCTCTATTGCAACATAAAATTTGTCAATTTATCATCTTCAGTATTACTGAACAACAACTCTTTCTCTGGAAGAGTTTTCGGAGAAGATACCCTCCAAGAAGTAGGTTGATATATATTCAATCAAACCGTTGAGGCTACCCATCTACTACCTCAAGAAAACCGATGGCTCCTACATTCATCTTCAATTCCTGCTGCGATCGTCTCGATCTTTCATCCATTCTCATGATATAGGATTCTATTCATGTTGATTTCTTTCACCAAATTTGGAAGTATTCAATCAAATGAACACAATGATACCAACTTTAGCCACAAACTAGAGAGAAATGAAGGTTAAAAGTTTTGGGATCAAAAAACTTACCCACTCTTAAGTAAAAGTCAATAGTGAAAAATTAGAAAAATGGTCAAAGTCAATCTCGAGAAGCAAAATGGTCATTTCGACCCTATAAGCAATTACTCCTGAGACACAAGGGAGAATAAAGGAAAAGAAGGGAAAAAAAAAGTTTGGAGATGGAAATTAATTCCCTAAGAGCTTGAATCACTCAAATCCATCGAGAATCAAGGAAGAACGGGATTTTTGCATCTTCTTTTCTTTAGACCTTAACAGAGATTTTGGAGAAGTTAGGCTAAGAAATTTTAATATATTATCTTAGGAAGATTTTACATACTTTTTATGACGGAACCTTGAGTCAAATCGAACCGGAAGTTAAAGTTCCGACCATCGTCAAGAAACTATAAGTTGTCTTTTGGACCAAATTTAGACTTATTTATTTTTCCATGTAGTTATCCGAATAAGGTGAAAATATTTTTCTAGGAAAGATGGATTTAAACTCTACAACTCTTAATTATTAAGTTGATTCGAGAAAAAAAAAATTAAGAAATTAAAAAATAATCAAAAGAACGAAAGGGAGACCGACAGAAAAGAAGAGACACTTGTCGAACTAGCACAACTGGTTGTGTGGTGGACAAATGTCACACGTAGAGAGGAGCACGGCGTCAGGCATCGAGTGGGGACACACATTGTCTGGTCCGACCTAACTCGAATGCTTGTGTCTGACCTGAACCGTTACCCGCACCTGTTGAACTGACCCGACCCGCGACCCGCTACTACCTTTCCCTGATAAGAAGCTCTGAGAATAGTGTTGTTTTGGTTCTGGAAAATGCTTGAAAATGAAACACAAAGTAGGAAGCTTCATGAAGAGGACTACCATGCCATTTTCTGGCCTCACAAATGGAGCCACATTCAACCAATTCTACAAACTTACAATAGAGGCTTTGCTAAATTCTCTCTCAACATGTTAGAACAACAGGGTTTTTAGAGAGAGAATTAATATGTCTAAATCAAACTACAACATTTCCACTAACATCAAAATTATCAAAATTCTCTGCCTGCAAAAGCCTGATTCAATTCATCTCCAGTCTCTTATCAGGCACAAACAAGATTCTTACTATACTCAAAATTGGATGGTGGTGTAGAGGAATTACGTTTTAAGATGACTCCGTATTGGATCTTTCATAATTCTCACTTGAATCATGTTCTTCTGATGGTGCTGCTTCGGCTGGCTTTTCGGGCCCGGGACCAGCCGATACTTTCACCATGGATGGTCGCAAGAGTCTGTCACCGAGCAAGAATCCTTTACGGAACTCGTCGAGTATTATACCTTCCTCAAACTCTGTGGAATCCTCCCTCATAATTGCTTCATGAAGCTGTAAGAAGAAATTGATTCAAAAAGTTTTAACTAACCGAACTTTGTCCCCAAAAGGAGATGAGAGATTAAACAGCATATCCTTGATTAATTCCATGTTCGATCATGTCATGCAGTTTAGAATGCATATTAAATATAAATCAAAAAAGAAACACAAACATATCAGCTCAGAATTCAATGGTTTGAAGATAATCCAAAATTACACAGAAACATAGAAATAGAAATAATAGCCTTGTGAGGGCAACCAAAATATGTTTTGCAAAAGGCACTCTCAAGGAAAATATGATTTACTCTCTCACATTATAATGCAAAAGATCACAGTTCTTAGTCAAAAGTGAATGAGGCCATTATGAGTCCTTTTGGCTAATTTAAATCATGGGTTTATAAGTAAGGAATACATCTCCATGGGAATGAGGCCTTTTGGAGAAACCCAAAGCAAAGCCATAAGAGCTTATACTCAAAGAGGACAATATCATACCAACGTGGAGATCTGTAATTCCTAACATGGTATCAAAGCCATGCACTTAACTTAGCCATGTAAATAGAATCCTCAAATGTTGAACAAAAAAGTTGTGAGCCTCGAAAGTGTAGTCAAAAGTGACTCAAGTGTCGAACAAATGGTGTACTTTGTTCAAGGACTCCAAAGAAGGAGTCGAGCCTCGATTAAGGGGAGGTTGCTCGAGGGCTCCATAGTGTACTTTGTTCGAGGGGAGGATTATTGAGAGGGAGTCCCACATTAGCTAATTTAGAGAATGATCGAGGGTTTATAAGTAAGGAATACATCTCCATTGGTATGATGCCTTTTGGAGAAACCTAAAGCAAACCCATGAGGAAGTTCTAACACTAACCAGGGGAAGTTCATCAAGTTATGATCATTAGATTTTCTAGGAAAGGTCCTACAGTTCCACTACTAGTTACCAGAGTTTGATCTCCAATCTCACTGAAAGTGGCATTAAATTTATACAACCGTTTTACTCATCAAGTTGATGGAATAAATCCACCATGTCAGATACTCCAAGAACCTGAACAATTTAAACAATTTGATAGCGAAAAAGGATGGTCATTTTTTAACTAGAAGATATTAGAAGTCACATACTGATTAATAGTGACTTTACTTGATGAATAAAGGCAAAAAGAGGCAGATGAGATTTTGAAATTTTTATAAGTGGACTGGAAGCAAGAACTCACCAGTGGATCAAAAGGTTTTCCAACTGTCTCGACAGGAACTACACCCAATGAGCCCAAAATCTCGTTGAACTGCTTATAAATGCTCTGGTAACTCTGATTTATCTTCTCTTCTCCCTCTGTCTCCACCTTGATTTGTGCCCGAGCTCTCTCAAAATTATCTAGCACACCCAATAAAGTCTCTACTACTTCCCCTTGGGCATTTTTAACCAAGGAAAGACGTTCCCTCTCTGTTCTCTTCCGAAAATTTTCGAAGTCAGCACTGATCCTCAAAATTCGATCCTTCTCTACAGAAAGGTCTTCAGTTAAGGATTTCAATTTCCTTTCGACTGCAAGCTTTTCATCTTCAATTGACTTCAGAAAAGATTCTATTTCAGCTATTTGAGATTCATTGTTATCAGCTAAAGCCTGCTTATAAGATTGAAGTGCTGCTAGGATGACTGATTGAGGCGAATCTTCAGCATTAACTTCTGCACCATCATTTATGTCACTATCACTTGCAGCATCTTCCACACCAGTATAACTAACAGAAGAGTCCTGTTAAATGCAAGGCATGATTTATGTATAAAAATTAAAACAATCTAAATCCATGCCGTGAGAAACTATTTTTCATTGTCAGAAGTTATTACACTTCCTAAGCATGCAATATCAAAAATCTTCAAATTTTAAAAAATCAAATCAATAATTTAAACTTGAAACTTGTAGGTCTAAAACACTATGGGTCATGTTTCTTTATAAAGAAACCAAACCTTCGTCAAGAGACTTTGATAAGAGTATGGTATTTGTTTCCCACGTCGGTTGGGGAGTTGAAGAAAACATTCTTTATAAGGGTGTAGAAATTTCTCCCTATCAGACGCGTTTTAAAAACCTTGAGGGGAAGCCCAAAAGGAAAGTACAAAGAGGACAATATCTGCTAGCAGTGGGCTTGAGCCATTACAAATGGTAGCAGACACCAGACGATGTGCCAGCAAGGATGCTAGGCCCCGAAGGGGAGGTCCCACATCGATTGGATAAGTAAACGAGTGCCAACGAAGATGATGGGCCCCGAAAAAGGTAGATTGTGAGATCCCACATTAGTTGGGGAAGAGAACGAAACATTTTTTTTATAAGGGTGTAGAAACATCTCTCTAGCATACACGTTTTAAAAACATTGACGGTAAGCCCGAAAGGAAAAGTCCAAAGAGGACAATATCAATTAACAGTTGGCTTGGGGCGTTACAGTATTTACTTCAAATAAACTTACTAAAAGGTATGCACGAGAGGTGTCAATAAGAACCAAAATCGATGACAAGTAAAGCAGCAAAGAATAATTTAACCAAACTTCGAATAATGGAAAACAACCAAAACTGCTACCATACTCTCAATTTTTTAGTTTACACTAAAATTTCAGATGTTAAGTGGATAATTTCAAGGTAAGTTTTGAGAAGGTCTAAAGCTCTCTAGAACATCCGACTCTGTCTACATACAATCCACTAGAACAATTAGAATCCAGAAATAAACAATGAGCAAAAGATAGTGCCAAAATTCCGTAATCCCTCTCACAAAACTTAGCAAATTCATTCCAATCGATATTATTAGATACAACAACGCGATTGTATTAACATCTCTGCAAAAAACAACATTCAGCTTCTAATTCAATCCAAGCACCATAACTAACATTAAATCTCCTCGAACACTATCTAACCTAACCAACTAAAGAATCAAACTAGGACGAGAAAGTACCTCAGCCTCAGATTCGTGAACTTCCTCTTCGACCTCGCTAACTTCCGTATTTCCAGAGGAAGCAAACGGGCCAAGCTTCGGGAACCGGATAGAACGAGGACGAGAAAGCTTGGAGGAATTGATGCAACAAAAGGGAGAGTGAGAAGTTCTGAAGGAAAGAGATGAGGGTTTTAGTTTTAGGGTGGATTTGGAAGAGAAAATGGTGGATACATTTGCCGGAGGAGTTGCCTGAAAAAATGGAGCTCTGAGAATCGTGGCCATGAGATAAATCACAGCGCGAGAGAAAAAGGAAGAGAGATAAGGGTGCAGAGGAGAAGAAAGTAGGGAGTGCCAGAAAGGTTGGCTCAGAAATTATATTAATATTATAAATTCCCAATTTTTTTTAAAAGGAAAATATTAAAAATATTATAATTCATAAAATTAGAGATCGATGGCCCGCCGTTGATGGATGGAAGGTTAACTGGAAAGCCCTTCCACACGACCATAAAAGCCACTCTAAGTACGGGAGTACACCCAACTCGGAAACTCGAGAACCCAACCCGACCCAACCCAAATTATAAAGGTTGGGTTGGGTTGTATTGGTTTCGGGTTTGGGTTGGGTCCATTTTTTTTAACCCGATCTGATTTAGGTTGGATTTGGGTACCAAAAGAAAATGATTGGATCAACCCGACCCAACCCGAAAATATTAAAAAAATAAAGAGAAATTAATTCATTTCAATCCATTCTTCTCTCTACTACAATTCATTCATCCATTTCTCTCCCTACCTCTCTACAATCCATTCATCCATTCCTCTCGACTCTCACCCTCTCCACAAAATACAAATCTCTCTCGATTCTTAATCTTCACAAGGAATTTGATCTCAATAGCATTCTCTCGCGTTATTTGTCTTGTTTCTTTCTCGCGCGCCGTCTTTCTCTCTTTAGTCTCCTGGAACACTATAACGAGTAAGCTTTTTCTCTTTTTGTTATATCCCCTTACAAAAATTGATTGTATATTTTAACCTTGATGCATTCTATAATAATTGTTTATATTGAGTTAAATGTTTGAATCATAATAGTTCTATTTTGCTTTTTATAGATGGAAAACAATAGTGCAACCGTATGTGCAAGTAGCTCTAGTAATTATAATTCGTCGAAACCACCCTTCGCTACCCAATCTGAATTTAAGAAGAAGAAACTCAGTAAATCAACCGTGTGGGATCACTTTACAAAATTAGAGAACAATAATAAGAGGTGCAAGTGCAACTATTGTTCTAAGGAGTATGCTTGTGATACTAATTCTTGTGGAACTAGCACGTTATGGAAGCACTTAAAAATCAGTGTAGAAAGTACACATATAAGTTGGAGGACAAATGACAAACCACTCTAAGTTTTCAACGTTCAATAGATGGAAAGGGTGGTAATAATATTGTTACTTCATTATTTAGTCAAACAAGATGTAGAGCAGCATGTGCCAAGATGATAATTATGGATGAATTATCATTTAAGTTTGTAGAGACCGAGGGTTTCAAATTGTTTTGTGGTATTGCATATTCTAAGTTTGACTCTCGGTCAAGAGTAACCATTGGTAGAGATATATTTCAGCTCGAAGAAAAAAAAGGAGTTGAAACACAAGTTGCTAACCACAAGGGAGAGACTATTGGCAAGATTATTGAGAGTTGTTTATTAGAATGGAGAATCGATAAGGTTTTCTCTATCACGGTTGATAATGCAAGTTACAATGATATAGCTATTTCATATATTATGAGAAGGCTTAAAAGTTGGAATTCACTCGTCTTAGATGGAGAAATATTATACATGAGATGTTGTGCTCACATAATTAATTTGATTGTGAATGAAGGGTTTAAAGAAATGCATGACTCCATTTCTAGTGTTCGCAATGTCGTGAGGTATGTTAGATCATCCCCCAAGAGATTGACAAAATTTAAAGATCGTGTTGAACAAGAAAAAATTAAATGTAAAACACTTGTTTGTTTGGATGTGGCGACTCGATGGAATTCCACTTATTTGATGACTGATCATGCCTTGAAATTTGAAAAAGCTTTCAAAGTATTAGAGGAGGAAGAATTAGATTATGTTGATTATTTCAAAGAGGGGATCATGGAAACAAAAGAATAGGGACACCAACCATTGATGATTGGAAAAATGTTGTTTGTAAAGTTTTTGAAGGTTTTCTTTGATGTCACCTGTTTTAAGTAACCGAGTTCAAATATGAAAGTTAAGTATGACAAATATTGGGGCTCGGTGGAAAGAATTAATAAGTTGATATTCATAGCAGTGGTACTCGATCCTCGTTACAAATTGGATTACATATCATTTTGCTTTTCGTATATTTATGAAGATGCTATGGCTAAAGTGATGGTGGATGGCATAAAGAATTATTTAATTCGTTTGAATGATTACTACAAGTTTTATGATAATACTCAAGATCATCATCAATCTGAATCAAGACTCACTTCGAAGTCCATGAGTACGGAGATAGACACAATTAAGTATAGAGTTTTATCGAAAATTGCCCAAGATGTTTTGGTCATTCCAGTGTTTCGACTGTATTTCTGAATTAGCATTTAGTACGGGTGGGAGGATTCTTGATTCTTTTAAGAGTTCTTTGACACTTAAAACAGTGGAAGCTCTCATATGTATAAAAAATTGGATCGGTAGAAAATGAGTATCGTTAGATATTCCTCAATAACTTGAAGATTTGGAGATTTGTTCCAAGATTGAGACAGTAACTCCAAATCTATTTATTGTCTATTTGTTAAGATATATTCTATATTGTTATATCATAATTTATATTTTATTTTTTCAGATGATTTAAGACCTTCAAGTTCCACCAACGTCATGCAAGAATAATTATTTTTCAAATATAAGTAAAATATTTGAAGTTACACTATGCTTTATCCAAACAATCTTAAAACGTCTCTTAAAACGTCTTAAAACGGTAATAACTTTCAAGATGCTATTTTTCTTTTGTAGGAATTAAGAATGCAAGAGAGGGTTGGATAATTTAAAATTTTTAAATATTTTGTTGAATGTTGTAACTTTGGAATTAATTCATTTTTTAGGCATTTTGTTGAATGATTATATATTGTGAATGTAGATAATTTAATTAGATGTGGTAACTTTAGACTTGATTCATTGCATATTTTTTTATATATTTGTAGGTGATAATATGGATGCAATAGAGAGTTTGATATTTTTGATCTACAACTTCGAGTAGTAATTGTTTTATCATTTTAGGTCATATAAATTAAATTTTTTTGGACCAACCCGAACCCAACCAAAAATAGAGAGTTGGGTTACTAATCCAACCAACTCGAATTTATGGGTTGGGTCAAAAAAATCCTCCAACCCAACCCAACCCGGACCATGTACACCCCTAACTCTAAGTTTGAGAGAGCGACCTTGTGTGCTTTCTAGCTACCAAGTTAGTACGTGGTTCCTCATATCATCTCAAGATGAGTTTACAATGTAGATTTCCACCGAATAAAAGGAACCTAGTCGCCTTCGACACATTACCCTAGAAGATCTCAGTACTAGTCGTAAGAGAATTTGAGGATGTATTTTCGGAAGAACTATTGGGTCCACCCGTAAAGTGGGCATCAAGAAAGCTCCTTGGACTCCCCAAGAGGACATCTTCCTTCTCTCTTACATTCAACATGGCCCTGCTCATTGGAGATCTGTTCCCACCAACACAGGTATATATATCCCTCTCTTCCTCCTCGCTCCGATCGCATTTTTAACATCGGGGTCTCGTCTCGTTTACGTTCTCTTCGACTCCTTACGTCAAAATGACTTTATATGTGAGATCTCACATTGGTTGGAGAGGGAAACAAAACATTATTTGTGAGAGTGTGTAAACCTCTCCCTAGCGTTTTAGAAACCTTAAGAGGAAGCGTGAAAGGGAAAACCTAAAAAGGACAATACTTGCTAGTGGTGGGCTTGAGCCGTTACAAATGGTATCAGAGTCAGACACTGAACGGTGTGCAAGTGAGGACACTGAGTTTCGAAGGGAGTAGACACCAGGTAGTGTGCCACAAAGACGTTGGGCCTCGAAGGGAGGTGGATTGTGAGATCGTTGGAGAAGACAACAAAACATTCTTTATACGGGTGTGAAAACTTTTCCTTAGTATACACGTTTTAAAACCTTGACGAGGAACCCAAAAGGAAAAGCACAAAAAGGATAATATTTGCAAGCGGTGAACTTGGGTCATTACAAATGATATCGAGCCAGATATTGGACGGTGGAAGCTTGAGAAGTGGTTCAGAAGAGATGAACGTTCTTAAGTCATTTAAACACTTTAATATCGGACACCATTAGAGGGAAGAAAACATCTTTTCGGTGTCTAAATCCCTTATTATCCCATTCCATACATATCTCTCTGCCCATGTCCGTGAACACCATTAGAGCCAGTAAGTAAAAAGAGGGAACAAAACATTTTGAAAAGTGTGAAATTTTTCATAGAATATAGTACAGTAGCACAGGCAAAACTCATGAAGAAGATATTATACTTGGAACACATCCAATACTTGAAAAATGTAAAATAAACCTCAGAAACCAAAAAGGATGAAGTAGAACGTGCCACTTGAAAATCCAACGCCTTTTACAACATATTACTCAACTAATCATCAACCTCAGCTTTAATCTCCTTTTGCAATTCTTCCTTGTATTCCTCGAAAGTTCCAGGGAAAAACTCGACAGTGCCATTTTCAACAACCCAAATTTCACTTTTTTCTTCATCCTCGCAGACTCGTGATATGAGTCGGGAATCGTGACTAACCAAAACAACTCCACCAGTGAACTCATCTAAGGCATCTGCAAGTGCATCAATACTCTGCATGTCCAAGTGGTTCGTTGGTTCATCAAGCAGTAATATGTGTGGCTTTGACATGGAAATTGAGGTAAAAACAACCCTGGCTTTTTGGCCCCCAGATAACTTGGCAATCGGCGTGAGGTGATTGTGGCTAGGGAGTCCAAATTTCCCTAACTTGGCACGTACAGCCTCCTGCTTGCTTAGACCCTCTTGATCGGGATGAAGACGAAGAAGATACTGAACTGGTGTTTCCTCCATTGTCAGAAGGTCTACGAAATGCTGTGAATACCTCCCAATCCTCAACTTCTGACTCCTACGAACTTCACCTTCTGTTGGTACCAAATCACCTGCTAGCAGGTTCAGAAGAGTGGATTTCCCCGCTCCATTGGGTCCAACAATAGCAACCCGTGTTCCCATATCAATACCCACATCAACATCAGAAAGTCTGAAGTCTTTTCTATTTGGGTAGCTAAAGCTTACTTCAATCAATTGTAATAGTGGTGGGGTGAGCTCGGTGGGTTCA